GGCGATGCCGGCAGCCATCGTCGCCACGCGGTGTCGGCCTACGTCGGCCTGGAGGGGCAGATCACGGCGGCGTTCAGCGCCACGGCGGCGCTGCGTGCCGAGGACTACAGCGATTTCGGGCGCGCGACCGCGGTCAAGCTGTCGGGCCGTTATGTCGTGAGCCCGGCGCTGGCGCTGCGTGGCACGCTGTCGACGGGTTTCCGCGCACCGTCGCTCGCGCAGCAGTACTTCGCCACCACGTCCACCAACCTGATCAACGGCGCGCTGGTGGAGGCCGGCACCTTCACCGTGCCGTCGGCGGCCGCACAGGCGCTCGGCGCCCTGCCGCTGAAGGCCGAGACCTCCCGCAACCTGAGCCTGGGCGTGCAGTTGCAGCTCAGCCGCGACTGGCAGACGACGCTGGACGTCTACCAGATCGACATCAACCACCGCATCCTGCTGTCCGCCAACCTCTCCCTGCCGACGGCGCTGCGCAACCAGCTTGCGGCGCAGGGCCTGAACGTCAGTACCGGCCGCTACTTCACCAACGCGCTGGACACGCGCACCCGCGGCGCCGACCTCGTCAGCACCTGGCGGCAGGACTGGGCGGCTGCCGGCCGCAGCGACTTCACGCTCGCCTACGGCTACACCGAGCAGACCGTGCGCCGCGTGGCCGACAACCCGGCCGTGCTCACAGCCAACAACCTCGTGCTCATCGACCGCGTGACGCTCGCCCGCGCCACCGTGAGTGCGCCCAAGGACAAGCTGCTGCTGGCCGTGGAGCACCGCTTGGGTGCCTGGAGCGGGCGCCTGGCGGCCACCCGCTACGGCAGCTACGAGGTGCGTCAGGCGAGTGCCGTGAACGACCAGCTTTTTGCGCCGGCCTGGCTGGCCGACCTGTCGCTGGGCTGGGCTGCAGGCGCCTGGCGCGTGGACGCAGGCGTCGACAACCTCACCAACCGCTACCCGGACCGCGTCATCGCCGCGAACGCTGTCGGGGGCATCCTGACCTACAGCAGCTTCTCGCCGTTCGGCTTCAACGGCCGGCAGTACTACGCCAAGGTCGGCTACCGCTGGTGACGGCCCGGCGCCCGCTCAGGCGCGGGAGCGTCGCTTGTCGGCATACATCTGCCCGTCGCTGCGCAGCAGCAGATCCTGCATGGACTCGCCCGGCCGCGCCTGTTCCAGGCCGATGCTGAGGCTGACCTGCAGGCCCGGGGCGATGGCTTGCCAGTCATGCGTCTGCACGGCGGCCTTCATGCGATCGCACGCCTGCTGTGCGGTGGCCAGGGGCTGATTGCCGAACAGCACGACGAACTCGTCGCCCGCCAGCCGCGCGACGAAGTCCTCGCTGCGCACCGCGCCCGACAGCAGGGCGGCTACCGCCTTCAGCACCTCGTCGCCGACGAGGTGCGAGAAGTTGTCGTTGATGTGCTTGAAGCGGTCGACGTCGATCAGGGCGACGCACAGGCCACCCGCGGCGCCCGCGGCGATGCGGGCCAGCAGCCGGCGCTCGAGC